AATCCTTTGATGTTTGGGGTTCAGAATGTTTCTCTTTGGTTAAGCAGTCTACCCATAAATCATTTGTAGGCACATTGTGTAAGTCTGGTGACATTTAAATTAATTATGTTTTTGTTCTAGTTGATCTGTTACAAGCATATGCTGGAGGTTTTGTTCATCTAACTAAAGGGACAAGCATGACTGGTCATCCTTGTAGATTTGGGTCTCTATCAACTTAGGGTCTCTTTTTCTCTCTCTCCCCCAGGGCTGATTTCTCTCAGGGCTGATGACAAAAATTCACAAAGGAGACTGAGAAGGAAGCCCCCAGGGATGCAGGAGCAAACCCTGGAAAGAAGGCAGGAGGCACAGTGGGTGGCTAATAATGATGAGTTAGGGACCCAGTGCCTGCACTGGATTCAGCAAGGTTAGAAGTCCACTGTGACCACAGCAAGGGCTCTTCCCCAGAGGACTGAGGTCACTTTCTGTGGACGAAGGAGGAAGTAGGAGCTGGGAAAGTGGAGGCAGCAAGTAAGGCTAACTCATTCCAGAAGTTCCGAGGGGTCAGAGAGAGGAGATGACAAAGCAGTAACTAGAAATGCAAGGAGGGCCAAGGGGCGGTTGTACTTTTTAGGATAGAGAGACTCAACTCGAGACTGTTATGGGCTGATGGAGGGACTCAGAAGAAAGTTAGAGGAGGAGGGACAGAGTGGGGCCTTGTGGAGCTGGGGGAGCCGCTGAGAGGAGTAAGGAGGTGAGGGTCGGAGCAGCGCTTTTCAGATTTTGACATGAAATCACATTTCAAATTTCCCCTCCTCTATCTCCCCTGCCACCATCCTGGCCCAAGACATCTCACTAGGCCACCTGACCTGGCCTTCAGACACTCCACTTTGGGTTTAGGCTTGAGGCTACAGAGGCCAGGAGGGCACTAAACTGACTTGAAGAAGACAGAAATGGCCAGTGGCCTCTGGAAGTTGGGGATGAGGCAGTGGGAGTCAGAACGTGGGCAGCCTGCCAGAGGCCTCTGTGCCTTGATTGAGGTTGGAACCTCAGGGAGGTGTTCAAGGTGTGGCCCTGGAGAGGACATGAGGAAGTCATGAGGAAGGCCACCGGGGAGGTCAAGCAGGATACTAAAGGGTCATTCACACGGATGAGCAGGACATTAGGACAAAAATCCCAATCCTGAATGGATGAAGGAAGGCCACAAAGATGAAGATGATGAAGAGGGTGAGAGTAGAACCAGGTGGCAGGAATCTTGGAGGAGGAAAAAGTGATAAATGATATATACACAGAGGAAAAACCAAACCAAACCAAAAACCCTCCAAAAAGTGAGTGGTGATGGGGGCTGGGGATGTGGCTCAAGCGGTAGTGTGCTCGCCTGGCATGCCCAGGGCGCTGGGTTCAATCCTCAGCACCACATAAAAATAAAATAAAGATGTTGTGTCCACCAAAAAATAAAAAATAAATATTAAAAAAAAAAAGTGAGTGGTGGTTATCCATGGTGGGATAAAGGATATGGGTAACTCTGATTTCTTCTTTACACTTTCCTGAGTTTTGCCACCAAGTTTTCTATAGTGAGTCTTTCTTGTTTGTTTTTTAGAAATGTAAAAGAAAGAAAACAAACATAACAAATGCCTCAATTCACACTTTAAAAAATTAGTTTAAAAAATTAGTTTAAAAAATTAGTTTAAAGGCTGGGGGTGTGGCTCAGCGGTAGAGCACTTGCCTAGCATGTGTGAGGCCCTGGGTTCGATCCTCAGCACCACATAAAAACAAATAAACAAAATAAAAGTATTGTGTCCAACTACAACTAAAAAAGAAATATTTAAAAAAATTAGTTTAACCCAGGCACAATGGCACACACCTGTAATCCCAGCAGCTCAGGAAGCTGAGGCAAGAGGATCATGAGTTCAACGCCAGCCTCAGCAACTTAGTGAGTCCTGGAGCAACTCAGCAAGACCCTCTCTAGGGGCTGGGGATGTGGCTCAAGCGGTAGCGCGCTCGCCTGGCATGCGTGCGGCCCGGGTTCGATCCTCAGCACCACATACAAACAAAGGTGTTGTGTCCGCCGAAAACTAAAAAATAAATATTAAAATTCTTTCTCTCCTCTCTCTCTTTAAAAAAAAAAAAAAGACCCTCTCTATATATTAAAAGGGGCTAGGGATGTGGCTCAGTGGTAAGTGCCCTGGGGTTCAGTTCCTGCCACCAATAATAAATAAATAATTGGTTTAGAGAGATAACCACTCCCTCTTATCTTGGACAAGCATGGTTAGTTGAATTTAGTTTCGTGTACATGTACATACATGCATGAAATAGAACATGGTGTGGTTATGAGATGATTTTACTTACATGGGGAAAGGGTTCTTAAAATGAGGTGGGGGACTTTTTAAAGTGAGGAGGGGTTGTACACAGACTGACAGCCTGAATCCACGTCTCCAGCACAGCTCCACTGGGAAGGCCACACCTGGAAAGACCCAGCCTCCAATTTAAGTACACTGGGCCACACCTGGTCGTTAAATGTTCCAGGAAGAGAGGAGTGCTACTTGTGTTTCTCTGGCTGGGTTTCAACCCACTTTCACATCGCTCAAGTTATTAATGCCCCTGAAACCCAGAAAGCCGGAAAGGCAAATCGTTATCCCCAATGGACTGTTAGGAGAACTGAGGTGGGGAAGAGCAGGGAATGAACAGAATGCCACAGTAAGTTGGTGGAGAATAAGGAACTAGAGCTCTGGCCCAGGCCAGTGCATGGACAGGTGGGGCAGAGGCAAGGGCCACGGGTGGCAGGGACTGATGGACTTTGACCACCTGGCAATAAGGAAAAGAAATGGCAATAACTTCAGCCTCTGAGGTTGGCTGATCAGGAAATGATGTTTTGGAGAGAATCAGGTGAAACAGTTCTTCCTCTTTAGAGGCCCCATAGAATAGGCACAGTTTTGGAGGCTCTCTGCATTTCCAACATACCCTCAGAAGTTAGGACCTGCTTCAAGATCAGGCCTGGATTCAGGTCTCAGGTCTATCATTGATATATGTCATATTATCCTGGAAAAGTTATTCACTTTTCTGGGTCTTCATTTTCTCATGGATAAAATGGGGGTGTTTTGTTGTTGTTGTTGTTGTTTGTTTGTTTTGTTTTTAACACTCCAGGTATACAAAGAGAGAATCATTATCTGTGCTTCTGGAGGCAAAAGCACTCAATGTGTCCAGATGGGCTCAACGTCAAGGGGATTGTCCAACACTGATAGAGAAGCCACCTGCATGTGTATACCTGAGATGTGACACCAGCTTTGCAGTGACCCTGGGGAGGTGGAGTTTGCCATCAGAAAGCTGTTGGTCGAGTGGTGGCAGGGTGGTGAGAGTAAAGGGCCCATTTTTTTTTTAAGAGAGAGAGAGAGAGAGAGAGAGAGAATTTTTTTAAATATTTACTTTTTAGTTTTTGGCGGACACAACATCTTTGTTTGTATGTGGTGCTGAGGATCGAACCCGGGCCGCATGCATGCCAGTCCAGCACGCTACCGCTTGAGCCACATCCCCAGCCCATAAAGGGCCCATTTTAAAAAAAATAAATAGATAAATAGATATTTAAATATGTATTTAAATATTTATTTATTTATTAGTTGTACGTGGACACATACCTTTATTTTATTTTTATGGGATGCTGAGGATCAAACCCAGTGCCTCATGCATGCCAGGCAAGCACTCTACCTCTAAGCCACAATCCCAGCCCAAGGGCCCATTTTCTTAAAAAAAACAAAAGCAGCATATGAACGATTATTCATTGTAAGATTCCAACACCACCGAGTGTGAAATTAAAAAAAAGCAAAATCCTCCCCTTTCCCCCTCCCTTGGTTGTCACTTTGGTAGTTCCTTGCTGTTAGGAACAGCTGCACTGTTCATAACATTGTTCCAGACAAATGACCTGGAAGCCCATGTACTGAGGGGCTCCTAGCCTGGCCTGATGGTGGCAGTGACCTGGTGATTCTCAATCGGGTTTCCCCAGGAGAAATGGCTCCCCTCCCCCCTTTGGTGTTCGTGTGTTTCCCAAACTCCAGAAGCTCCCTGCACTGACCCAGGTGACACACTCGGGGCACAGTAAGTGACACTACAAGTGTACAGAAAAGGAACACCTAAGACATCGGGATAGCCCCTGCCATCAAGGCCACTGACCAGTGGGTGGGGTCACAGGCAGGGAACAGATGCCATCAGGTGTCAGCAAGTGCCTCCAGAGGTCTGCCTCAAAGACCTAGGGAGTCCACATAGGCAGCCACAGTACTGCCACTTTGGAGAACTTGGGCTCAGAGACCTGGATGGGGAATCCTGGCCAGGTGGCCTAGGGTGAGTGATTAGCCCTCTGAACCCAAAGGAAGGGAATCACCTGACTAACAGGGAGTCTGAGAAAGGCACAAGGACACCTCCATCCATGCTGGCACGTTAAAGGGGCTCAGTAACCCACAACCAGGATTAGTAAAGCTTCTAATATGTATCCTGCCAGATCTGTGCTTTGTCCACAAAGACACTCTAGGGAGTTTCTAAGACATTTTCTTAATTTTGTATCTCATTTTGTTTCAGACAACCTCAAGGGACAGGAATTATCATCCCTGACTTTTGAAGGAGGGCACAGGGACCTGAAGACAGATGAGGAAAGCACCTTGCTCAGCGCGAAAGACTAGACTCAAAGAACAGGGCTGTTCTTCATCTGGTAAAATTAGGTCCCAGGGAGGAAAAGTCATTTGCCTGAGGTCACACAGCAGGCCAGGGACAGACCCCGGTCCCCTAGGCTGCTCTCTTTCACCACCCTCCCCATTCCCAGCCTTCCCCCGGGCGCTTTTTCCGTCCAGGTGCCCATCGGGGCACCATAACCATAGCTGACACCACTCACGCCCTGGCAGGGGCTATAGCTGCCCCTCTGAGTCTCAGTGTCCCTCCGTCCAGGGGGCATCACCGCGGAGGCTCCAGGCTGAGCGCAGGGGCATCGGGGTCGCCGCAGGGCGGGGCGGGGCGGTGACTCAGCCGCGCGGCCGAGGCTGCGGAGCCGGTCCGACCGGCTGGTGCGAGCGCGCCCAGGCGGCTGGGGGTGCAGGGAAGGGAGGCCGCCCGGGGACAGAGCGCGGCTCGGGCGGGAAGTGGGCGCGGCGCGGCTCCGCAGCGCGCACCGGCGGCGGCGGAGAGGATGGGAACCGAACACCCCGGCTGCCGGCAGCTTCTGGATCCCTGCTGACGCCGGCCGCGGCGACCCGCGCGGGAGCGACATGTGTCTGCGCCTGGGTAAGCGGCGCCGGGTGGGCGCCAGAGGCCCAGACCCTGCTGCGGGGTGGGGCTCTGTAGGGAGAGCCGAACCGGGCCAGGCCCACCGCTCCGCCTCTAACTCACTTGGCGGCCTGGGCACGTCACTTTTCTTTCAGGGCTTCAGTTTCAGCGAGATGCAGGAAGGAGGGCTGCCGGGTATGTCTTAATGTGGCCCGAAGCACCTCGGGCCCCTTGACACCACTTTCCTTTCTGAGTGGCATGAATGCTCACAGGACACCCTGGTGGCAAAAAATACGCTGGAGAGACCAGAGAGAGGGAAAGCAGGGCCCTGGGCTCTCACTTCTATACCCTTCTGTCCCCCACCACGCTTGGAGGGAACAGTGTGACAAAGGATCATCACAGAGGAGTTGGACTGCGTGCCCCTCCCGCCGCTCCCTGGGCACTGCGATGCTGCTCTTAGGCAGTCCTGGGGAGTCCCCACAGGACACCTTGTGAGCCTCTTTTTTGCCTCATCTGTAAAATAGGCCAGTAGCACCCACCTCCTAGCCTTCTATGAAGATAAACTTAGCTCCAAGAGTGAAGTGTTTAGCACTGTGGACTATCACATTGCTAAATGCTCCCAGAATGGTAACTTGGAAATAAAGCCAGGAACTGCCCTGAGACTCTCAATCCAGGGTTCCAGGCCCAGTCCCGGGCTGGCACTGTGCCTCTTGTTTAACCAAAGTCTTGGTCCTGGGATGCTGTTGTTACTGAGTGCAGCCCTGAGCTGCGTGGTGTCTGGGCTGCCAGGTAGGCAGGTGGGTGGATGGGGTGAGGTGGAGCAGGCCCCCATAGTGAAGCTGCCATGCCCCTTTCTGTTTGGCTGGCCATTCTTCTTCACCAGGTCATTCCAGTTCCACCGTGCCCAGCCAGTCCATCATCGGTTCTTTACTTCCTAGACCTGGTCCAGACCTAGAGGACTCTACAGGCTCCAGGGGTCTCAGAGGCCAGCTAGACCACCCCTCTTTGTCTTATACTTGGGAAATCTGGAGCCAACAGAGGGGAGGGGCCCATGCTTGGTCACAGGGAGTCTGTGACTGAATGGCCCCTGCCTCCCTGTTCCCTGGTGAGGATTGCCTCTTTGCACAGGCTCCCAAGCACAGCCAGCCTAGTGGTTGCTTTTTCCTTTCTTCTTTTTCTCTTTTTTTAAATCTAGTTGCAGAACTCCCATATGTGAAATATGATCAACCCTCTTTGTCACAGATGGGGAGACTGAGGTTTAGGAAGGGTCTCAAAGTCAGATCCCATTAGGAGCAGCTAAAGGAAGGGGCTGTTTAGTTCTGGGAACTGATCATAATCTTCCAGTCTCACAGAGGAGACTGGCAGGACCAGGGAACCAGCTTTATGTGTGTCCTTTAGGGCAGCGTCAGGAGCCAAGGAGGACATTGCAGAGAGCACCTCTAGAATAGCCTAAGCTGTCTGAGGAGTGGGTTAAGTTCCTGGGATGTGATGATAGGAGCAGCAGCCACATGGCCAAAGAGAATTTACATTTGGTCCCACCTCCCCCACAGCCCTGCCTAGTGCTACTCTGCGCCAAGAGCTTGCTTTTCCCAGAGCCTCAGAGTTTGACCCACTTTCCATCTATCTCATGTATCTCCTGCACTGAGAGACCAGGGTTCTTCTTCCCATTTTACAGATGGGGAAATGGAAATTTAGGGGCTTTAGTTATTTGCCCCAGTCACTTGACTCTAGGCAGTTCAGTTCAGCAATTGTGTTGAGTACCTACTGTCTACCAAACTGAATACCGAGCAGGGCCTGATCCCTGCCGATGGCCCATGGGCTCCATGGAACCTGGACCATGACTGTCGAGCTCACTGTGGTAGCCCAGGGCCTGGCACAGTGGATAGGATGTCAATGGAAGGGTTAGGGAGCTGGAGTTAGAGATGTGAGCTTGAGCCCTGCTGCTCATGACCTAGAGTGCTAACAAGGATAACTCTCCTTTAATAAGTGCCCCGTGGGTGCTTTTCCAGCCTTATAGTCCCAGGACTCACAAATGAACCATGAACCCCTATTACAGAGGAAGAAACTGAGGCTCAGAAATGTCAAGGTACTGCCTCCGAGTCATCCAGAAATAGATTTAGGACCCAGTGTCCATCACTCCAGGGTTAGGTTTACTCCTCTGCCTAGCAGAGTAAGTCTCACCCATGTCTCTGTCCCCCACAGGTGGCCTGAGCGTGGATGACTTCCGGAAGGTGCTAATGAAGACAGGCCTGGTGCTGGTGGTGCTGGGCCACGTCAGCTTCATCATCGCCGCTGTGCTGCACGGCACAGTGCTGCGCTATGTCGCTGCCCCCCGGGACGCTGTGGCTCTTCAGTACTGCGTGGTCAACATCCTCTCAGTCACCTCTGCCATTGTGGTACGACCAGGCCGGGAGGGTGACTGATGGGAGGGAGGGGCTTGCAAAGTCTTTGATAAGTCCCCACCACAGCTTGCAGGGATAAGCAGGTAGCCCCAGCATAGTATGCCATTTACCAAGTCACTCAAACTCTCTTTGCCTTGGATTTCTCATCTATAAAATGGGGGTGGTAAAAGTGTCCTCCTCACAGGGTCCTGGTGAGTTTTGAACAAGATCATTCCCAGAAAGCGCTTCGTATAATGTGCTCAGCACATGGTAAGTGTGCACCACTGTGAACTAGGATTGTTATTACCACCAAGAAATATTCAAATTACCCTTGGACAGAATAAAGTAATATCAGAGCAGTTTGGGAGGATCCAGGAGGACTTCACAGAAGGGTTTTGATGGATGTGTAGGAGTTTACAGATGAAATTCAATACATAACCTAGGTGTGTGGCCTGCCTGGGGCTGGCAAGTAGGAAAGGAAGCAGGATGGCATTCCCTGTACAGAATGGAAAGACACATGCAAAGACGTGGAGGTGGGCATGTCTACAATCTGTTCTGGAGACCCTGAGAAAACCAGGCTGGCAGGAGTTTATCATTAGACCTGGTTTATAGCAACTGCTCAATAAAGGGTAGCCCTGTTATGACTCAGTGACAGCCCCTGTTTGATGAATATACAAATGAAGTGGCCTGGTATTCTCAGATTTATAGAGCTTTTCTTGGCCTGTCAGCAGAGGCACCTGCGACCTTGGAGGAACATTTACACATCCTGTGGGAGCTCATCCCTGCCACTCCTGGCCGGGACCTCACTAAACCTGTCTCTGTCTGAAAATAAAGCTCCGGCAGCCTGCTGGCCTCCACACCTGGTAGACAAGGCCCAAGCAAATCAGAAGGGCTCCATCAAGTGGGACAGGCTGGGCTATGCAAATGTGGCCAGTGTCCTTGGGATTACAGTTATTGTGAGGAAGGCAGAGTGGGGAGGTGATGGGCCCAGGAATGGGCTCTGGGCAGGACCACTTCTCCTTTGCCCTCATTTCCTCAGTTAATCCTCACCAATCCAGCAACATGGGCCGTTATCATCTCCATTTTACAGAGGAGGAGACCAAGACCAAGATTCACCCCTCCTGCTGATACAAAGATGCCAAACTGAATTTGAACCTTGGTGGTTCTGATACCAAAGCCAGTGTCCTTTCTGTGAGCTCATCCTGAGAGTCGGGCTTAGCACAGAGGTTGAAGCACTTAGTTCTGGTTGCACAATGAATGAAAGCCATTGCTGAATACTCATGGTACTCTGCCATTACACTGAGTGAACAGAAGGAGGAAGATTGACTGAATGGAGCCCCAAAGATCAGAGGGCAGCTGTTGGGGTGGACAGTGCATAGGTTGTCCTGTTCTTGAGACAGAGGGTGGTTGGCAAGCCTGCACAGGGAAGGATCTGCACAGTACGGGGAGCAGGGAGGGTGTTTTGTGAGCATCAGGAGCCTTCATGTCGGTGTCCACATCCTGGGCGATGAGGGAGGACAGTGGCTCAGCGTGGGGCTGAGGAGCTGAGAGCTGGGGCCAGGTCATTGAGACCCTGAAATAATTTCAAATACTATTAGGGATTTTGAATTTTACGCCATAAAGTGTCCTGGTTTGTTTCAATATATAATTTTGGTTTTAATTCCTTGCCAGTTGAGTTACTGTCCCATTTCAGGGAATTACGTCACAGATATCCTGTGGCGTGCATACTCCTGGGCATGCCTCCTCACATGTGAGGCAGTGGGGAGTCATGGAAGGCTATAGGCAGGGTGTGATCACTCCAGGGCTAGACAAGGAGGAAATGGCTCTGCAGATGGAGGCAGTGAGGGCAAAGCTAAGCACAAGACAAGGAGGTGGAGGTTTGGAGAGCATCTTTGGTAACATTGGTGGCATCTTTATCCAAGAACAGTCCTGACTCCCCCTGCTGTCCTCCAGCACAGGGTCAGAACTGACTTGAACCCCCCCCCCCACCAGGTCATCACCTCCGGCATTGCAGCCATCGTGTTGTCCCGCTACCTCCCCAGCACCCCCCTGGTATGTGGCGCCTCCTGGGATGGGGCTGTAGGGTAGGGGGTGTGCCTGACCATCATGGAGGCCAGAGCTGCCCAGGGAGGCCAAGCCTGATGTCCACTGACCAGTGGCCTCCCCCATCCAGCGCTGGACAATGTTTAGCTCGAGTGTGGCCTGTGCTCTTCTCTCTTTGATCTGTGCCCTTGGCCTCTTGGCCTCGATCGCTGTGACCTTTGCCACCCAGGGCCGGGCCCTGCTGGCTGCCTGCACTTTTGGGAGCCCTGAACTACTGGCACTCACACCCGACTGTCCCTTCGACCCCACCCGCATTTACGTAAGTGCCTGAGCCTGGGATGGGGACACCCAGGCCCTTGACAGGGGTGAGAATGGGTCTTGGCACACACCCGGCCATCTCTGTCCCCTGTGCCCTGCAGAGCTCTAGCCTGTGCCTCTGGGGAATCTCACTGGTGTTCTGTGTAGCGGAAAGTGTGTTCGCTGTGCGCTGCACCCAGCTGGCCCACCAGTTGCTGGAACTGAGGCCCTGGTGGGGGAAAAGCAGCCACCACATGGTAAGTCCCCTCCATACTCCTGACTTTCCATATTTTCCTGGAGTTCCTGCTAGGAAGTCCAGGCTGGTGTGTCCCACTCCTCTGTATGGGGTCTCTCCAAAGAGAGAGGTTTAAAGGCTCAGAGAGGCCAGATCTCCTACTAAGTCACACAACTGACGACATCTGGCTCTCCCAGGGCTCAGGACAAATGTTGAGGCAGGCTAAGGGGCATTTGGGCTTGAGTAGGGGATGCCCCAGGGGTCTATCCTTGCTCTTGCATGGGATGATGATGCTCCTTTGCCCTCCAGAGATCCGCCCCACCCTCCCTCCTCCATCCCTAGGGTGTCCTAGAGGAGGGAACCCCAGCCTTGACCCAGTAGGCCCACCAGTGACCTGTGTCTCCACAGATGCAGGAGAGTCCAGAGTCCATGGAGGGCCATGACCTGCTGAGCTGCACCAGCTCTGTGCCCTTGACCCTCTGAGAGCAGATGCCTCGCTGGAGTCCCAGTCACTGGGGGCCTGCAACCAAGCCTGAACTGTGGCCAGTGCCCAGATGACCATCAAGGCCCAGATGGCTCCAGGATTCCCAGAGCCCACCCAAGAGGGCTCAGTGGGCCCTTGGGGACCTGGGAGGGGGCTTTCACCTCCTGCCCCGGCCACCCAGCCCATTGCACTGAAACAAGACTTTATTCTGAAGTTATTAAAAAGAACAGAGATGCTCCATGTGGCTGCATGCAGGAGGGGACAGGGGCTCAGCCAGGGGGCCTGCGCTTCTTTCCCACGCAGGACACGGTGGAAGGACTCTGCCCGTGGGGGGGGGGATACAGAGGGGTAGATCTGTGGTCTGTGTGTCTAGCTGTGTCCATCCAAGAGCTCAAATGTAGCCAGGGTTTATGGGACCACAGCTGCAGCTGGAATCCTGGGAGGTGTTGAGTCCCTATCACGGCCTCCAAGAACTGGGCAGGAAGGGTTGGGGCCCTCCTGCAGGGCAGAGCAACTTAAAGAATCTTCTTCCTCAAACCCCCACAACCCTGAACCCTCAACAACCCTGGAATCCTTCTCTCCCCTCCAAACAAATAGGCTCCTCACCTGGACTTGACCCCCAACTCTACCCAGTCTGAGACCTACCAGAGGGGGAGCACTTCCCAGGTCTGGAGGGGCCTGGCCTCAGAGACATGGAGGGTGGGAGATGGTGGGGCTGTCTGGCTAAGGGCGGGCTGACTGGGAGGAGCAGACCAAGCCGGAGAAGGTATCTCTGTCATCACCAAAGGGAGCTATTTCTTGGACGGTGGAATGCTAACGGCTTGCTTACTTGGGCCCTTACTTGCAGGCTTCCCTTTTCCAGGGCCCCCCCCCCACAGTGCAGACCCGGGGTGGGAGTCCCCAGTCTGGCCCCCAGCCTGGATAGACACAAAGGAGAGGAAGCTGAGAGCCGGGATGGGGCCGGTGAAGGCAGGGAGGAGAGGGGCCTGGCTCCTGTCGCTCAGAACTGGGAGGCGCTGCTGGGGTCGCACTGCAGCAGGCGCACGATGGACGGGTCGCTTTTGGCCCCGCGGATGAACTCCTCCAGGGACAGCTTGCCTGCGGGGCGAGGGGAGCCGTGAGGGGGAGAAGGCTGAGGCAAGCGAGGGGAGGTGGCGCGAGGGAGGGAAGCAGGGAGCGCCGCCCGCCCGCCCCGTCCACCCGCCCCGCTCCGCCCCTCACCGTCGTTGTTGGTGTCCATTTGGCGGAAGATTTTCTCAGTCCTCTTTTCCGGGGTCGATTCGTCCTCCGGCATCTTCATCACGGACGAAACCATTTTATAGATGGCCTGGGGGCGGGGGAGAGGCGGGGAGTGAGAAGAGCTGCGGGGCCGCCACCGCAGACACAGCCCCCGCTCGCTCCCACCGGCCGCGCGGGCTGGAGAGGGGTCACCGAGGCTGGGGCGCTCGGGATTTGGGGAAGGAAGATCTAGGAATCCTCCGGAAGAGAGGGCTATGGGAGCGGGCACTGCCGAGCTCCCTTGGAGGGCGAGGTGGGAAAGGAATTGCTGGCACCGGGAGCCGCACGAACAAAGACACCGCAGCCCGAAAGCTCCGAGAGAGCACCAAGAATTGAGGGGTGCAAGGAGTCAGGAGAGATATTAGAGAACCTGAAGGCCCAGAGGGCGAGGGGCTAGAGGGCTTAGGCGGCAGTGCCTGGGCGCAGGTTTGGGGGTAAGTACAAGGTTAGCGGGACGGCCCAGGAACCACCAGCACCCAGCAGCGGGAAGCGACCCGGGACCCCGGGGGTGGCAGTGGGCTGCGTTGCAGTCTGTGGCCCGCAGGGGGCGCAGGACTGCGTTGAGGCAGCTGGGGCCCAGAGGGGCGGGGAAGGTTATGCAAATGAATGCAAATGAGCATCTGCCAACGGGCAGGGACAGCCTGAGCTCTGCTGGGCCGAGGGCGGCAGCTGCCACGTGCAGGAGCTCCCGAGGCGAAGCGAAGGAGGGTTTTTGTGCTCAATGTACAGAGCACAGAGTGCGCAGCCTGTGGCATGGGCTGGGTTCCTGCGACCCAGAGCTCAAGCACCCGCTGGGCGCCTCAATCTTCTAGATTGACACCTCCTCCCAGAAGCCCCTCTTCTTCTCCAATCCCATAAACTTCCCCTGCCTCAGGTTCAGCTTCTACCTCCACGCTGCTTTTCTGGCCTCTTTCCCTGGTGTCTGACCCCACACTGCATTTGAAAGCTCTTTCCAAACACAAATCTACACTACCATGTCCTCATTCCCCAGACCACCCCCTCCGTTCCCTCACACACACAGGCCTCTCTCCAAGACCACGGTGCACCCTGCTCCTAGTTGCTGCCCTGCCCTCCTTCTGCTGCCTCCCACTCCTTAGGGCTCAGATTATACGATGCTTTCTTAGCGAGTCCTTCTCTGACCCAGGCTGAGTTGAGGCATAAGCGTCCCAGAGCCTCCTGGGCTTTTTCCTTTGAGGACACTTCTCGGGAAGTAACTGTACCTTTGTTGGGTTGTTCCTAATTCCCTCCGTACAGATAAGGACCACCAGCATCTAGTTAGTATCCAGATCCTCTGGACCTAATGCAGTGCCTGACACCTGGCTGGCACTCCCCTGTTTAGAGACCATCAACACCTCCCACTGCCTTTTTTCCAAGTCCAAACCATTTGGCCTTTGGCATTCAAGACACTTCACAGCCTGCCTGCTGCCGACCTCTCTAGAAGGGTAACTCCACCACAGCTCCCAGCTGAACATCCCTGAGCCTTGGAGATTCCCCAGCATATTCGGACTCTGCCTAGAGCAACATACTAGCTACCATTTATTAGGCAACCACTACATGCCAGGTCCCTTACATGCATTATTCCTAGACTTCACAATAGCCCTGAAAGACAGGAATCATCATCTCCCTTTTCCAGAAGAGAAACCAAGGCTCGAGAAGGGAATGGATGGCAGAGACCAATTGACTTGAGCCTGCCACCTCTTAGCTGCTGGGTGGATACTTGGACAGTCTGGGATGGTGACCAGCAGCAGGGCTTTGAAGTAATATCAACTCGGAAGTGGCTACTTATTTGCTGTGTAGCCTTGGACAAGGGCTTAACCTCTGTGACCCTCAGTTTCCATTTGTAAAATGGGATTAATTTTATCTCCCTCATTAGGATTGCCTAGTGGATTAAATGAGATAGAACAATCAGAAGAGTGGCTGGCTAGAGTAAGTGGTCACTAAATAGCAGCTTGCATGATAGTCATCATTCATCCACCGTGTTGCCAGGTTTTCCCCTGTCACTCAGTCCCCTGGGATCCTAAATGTCACTTTTATACTCCTGTCACTACACTGATCCGGGTGATGTACACATTGATCTCTCCCACCAGAGTGGGATCCCTCAAGAGGAACAGTCTCTTCCCTCCCATCATGCCCATCATCTGGCACCAGGCTGAATCCTGAGGAGGACTAAGCAGTGTCTTAGAGAGTAACCACTCCCTTTGTGACGGCCCTCCTCCTGGGTCTCCTAATGAATTGGAGTTGCTGCTCATAGTTTCACTGGAGCCTATTTGTCATTAATCAGGCACCAGGGTTTCCAGATCTCTGTCTGCACCCCTGTCTGGGGCCTCTGAGCCCAGAGGCTATAAAGGAAGCCAGGGCCTAGAAAGCAGAGGCCAGCCAGAAAGTTCTAATGCACAAGTGGCATTAGCTCCAGCAGGACTCAGATTTACCAGCACAGGCTGGCGTGACCACATTAAGCAGAACGCGAATCCCTCTGGATTGGCTGGTTTCCAGCTGATCCCTGAGTGAGTCTCCACTGCCCTGTCTGGACATGGAAGAACTAGGTCTCCACTGGACAGCAACACCTCCCGAGGAAGCCACTCTGCTCCAGCTAGAGAGCACAGAGCCAGACCCATAGCAAGGGAAGCCAATGAGCCAGCAGATGAGTTGGGAGGGAGAATGGTTCACAGAGCTGAGGGACCCAAAGGGAGAGTGTTCAGAGATGCAGAAGGGACGGGGACAATGGCTTGTGCAAGTAATGCCACAGCATTACTCCAGGCATCTCAGAGATGTTAAAAAGGCCATTTTGACTAGAGAAGAAGATATGCAGATCCAAAAAAAAAAAAAATGATCGACAGTCACTAACATTTACTGAGTACTGAATATATGCAGCACCCTGTGCTAGAACCACCATCCCAATTTATCCCTGCCAGAACCTGGGAAGCGGGGGCTTAATACCCCCCAACACACCCTTTACAGATGGAGAAAGCTGGGGGAAGTGAGCAAGGAACTGGATAGGTAAAACAGAACAGGGCCCTGACCACCTTCAGTGCTGGGCTAAGGGAGTGGGTGCCGACATGGATGAGCTATCACATAACACACTTAAATTTATACTCAGAAAGGCTCTCATATCAGATCCCTAAATCTTCCGAGGTCAGCATCACCATGCCCATTTTACAAATGAGCAACCTAAGAGTTAAGGCCGACTCCAGAACCAGAAGCCAGATCTCCTGGCTAGGAGCCCAGATCCCACACAAAAGGCAGCTCTGAGTAGTGGCCAGCTGAGCTTGACTTCATCCATGTACTGTGGGACTTCAGGCAAAGCACTCTACCTCTCCGAGCCTCATGGGAGTATAGTGAGGATGCACTCAGCATATGGGTATAAGCACCTCACAGTACCACCGAGGACACAGTACAGGCACACCTGTAGAAGACAGCAGAGGGCCATGATTGGGCTACAGGTATATTTTTTAGTGGGAAGTCATGTGGGAGGCAAAAAGGGGGCAGAAGCTAGGAGGAAGGAAAAGAGGTCCAAGTACTGTGCCCTTCGTGGTCCCTCTATCAATTAGTTGGAAAACGGCCAAGTATCCAGTTAGAATGTGACTGTTGGAGTCAGGTGCCCCCTCAGGCTGTGTGGCCTCCAGAAGGTGTCTTGACCTCTCTAAGCATGTTTCCTCCCTGAGTAAATGAGGATCAATAAAATACAACTGGCCTGTACTCTACAGAAATGTCAAGTCATGAAACACAAAGAAAGGCTGAGGAACTATTCCAGACAACAGGCGACTAAAGAGACAACCAAATGCAAGGCATCTTCCTAGACCAGGGCAAAAAAAAAAAAAAATGCTACAGAGAACATTATGAAGACAGTTGGCAAAATTGGAATATGGTCTGTCAATTAGATAATAGCAGCGTTTCTATATTAAATGTCCTGACTTGGATAATCATATTATGGGTTATGTAAGAGAATATCCTTATTCTTAGGAAATACATCCTTTTACCTAGGGGTAAGGGTCAGCATTCAAAACAAGAAAATATTGCATTCATCTAAAAATGAAGCAAAATATTAATTGGTGAATCTGGGCCCAGTGGACTTGGGAGTTTTCTCAGTGTTTCTTTAAATCAGCAATTCATTATTTCCTACGAGAGAATTCCATCAATGGGGTCGTAAGAATAGCACCTGTCACCACTTGCCTACCAGCTCTGTTGAGGAGCTAGGAAGGGGTGGCCAGGGCATGCCACCTGGCCTGGCATTCTCGGCCCGGGCCCACCTGCACGATCTCCAGCATCTCCTCCCGACTGATGTAGCCGTTGCCATCCAGGTCGTACATGCTGAAGGCCCACATGAGCTTCTGCTCCAGGCGGCCCCTCGAGGTCACGCTCAGAGCAATGATGAACTCCCGGAAGTCGATGGTGCCGTCGCTGTTGGTGTCGAAGGTACGGAAGACGTGCTCCGCGAACTTGGAGGCGTCGCCATAGGGAAAGAAGTTGGCATAGATCTTCTTGAACTCGTCCACGTTGAGGATGCCTGTGGGGCAGTCCTTGAGGAAGCCCTTGTACCACTCCTGCAGCTCCAGCTCTGAGAACTCCGTGTTCTCCCGCAGGTCCTGCAGCATCTCCGGCCGCAGCTTGCTGTTCTGCTTGCCCATGGCCGAAGAGCCAAGTCCCACCTGGGTCCCCAAGGGGGTCAAGGGGCAGAGAAGAATGCTCAGGACCTCCTGGTCACCTGTCACCATTCCAGAAGGGCCCCCAGACGCCAGCCACCTCAACCCCTCCTTTGACCCAACAAGAGAGAGGAACTGGCCCAAGGTCACACAGCCTGCATCCAGGCTTGTGGCCTCTGTGGCATGCTCCACACCGTTTCCCTAGACCTTACACTTCTCTAGGAACAGAGCTGGAGAGGGAGGAAGGAAAGGGGGCTCATATTTACACAGACCCTTCTTGGTGCCTTCAAGAGTGCACATCTTTTCACCCTCCTGAAGGGAAGTCAGAATTTGCCCCATTTTTCAGATGAGAAGGCAGGTTCATTGAAGGGAGGTCACCTGTTTCATGTCACACAGCCATGACACAATAGGTCCAACTCTTAGACTTGCCCAGGGAGGTGCAGAAGGACCTCTGGTCCTTCCTCCTAACCTCTGCCCGCTCTTTGCCTCCCACATGACTTCCCATCAAAAAATTACACCTGTAGCCCAATCACAGCCCTCTGCTCTCTTCTACAGGTGTGCCTGTAAGATGCAGCACAGGATAGGTGTTCATCTGGTCTCCAACTCAGATCACCTGGGTTTGAATCCCAACTCTGCCTCTTACCAGCTATGTGACTGGGTCAATTCCTTAAACTCTCTGCCTCAAGTAAAGTGGGGGTAAGCACTTACCTCCTGAGATTGTTGGAGGGGATTAAATTAGTTAATGCACGGAAACACTTAAAACCATGCCTGCATAGACAGGTGCTACATAAGTGTTAGATAAATAAAAATGATTTGTATTACCTAGATGTCACCAAAGTGTGCACAATAATATGCAAGTAAATGTGCACTGACACATCTTATGCTACACGGCTCACCACCCCCTGGGGCCCCTGCCACTCACATACCAGCCCACACCACCCGTGGTCATCATGCCTCCACACACAGCATTCCCTCTGCTCCACACTCGCACGCACTGACACCCAGCACCACGCACAACTCCTATGCCCTGTGCATCAACACACCAGCCCACGACCCCACATGTCTCACACATGCCATCACATGTCAACTTGAATGCCAGCACCTCTCACATGGCCAGCTGCACGTGGGACCTTCAGGCACCCTTGTTATTTTTCTTTATTTTCCCAGGGATGCTGCCAGGTCCCAGGAGAGGGAGCTGCAGCCCTTCCCATGGGGGCTCCTTTCCTGGGAAACCCCTGTCCCATCCAACCTCCCCCAGCATTCACCTTTAATCTCCTGGGGGCAGGGGCTTGAGGGTGAGGCTGAAGGCAATGGAGAGGAGACAGCCAGACAGTTCAGGACAGGGATGTGTGCAGGTGACCCCCCTCCCTCTGAGCTTGAGGATGAGAGTGAGACAGGGTGAGGGAGGTTCCTTGTGTGCTCTATGCACATGGGGGCGGGTGCATGTGTGAGAATACATGTGCTCATGCATGATGTGTGCCCTGGGTTCTGCATGCATTTATCTCCTGGTGTGTTTCCGTCCATGTCTGTGCATGTGCATTATATGTGCATGTGACCAGGTATGCACCTGTCACAATGTGAAGCGAATGTGCCTGTGTGGCCATTTAGGGAGACCTGTGTGTCTCTTCAGCAGCGTGTCACATGTATGTTTCTGTAAGTTGGTAGCCCCTCCTTTCTATATCAGTCTCTTCTGCCCCAAGCTGAGGACCCCCAAAACAAGTGTGTGGGAAGGGACTGAGGAAATGCGCAGGGCTGAGCAGGGGAATGTGTCCCTTACTCCCCTCCTGAAGGTCCAAGGAACTGGGTCACCCAGGCGGGGGCATAAAGATGCGCTGGGCAGGAGAGCTCCTTCAGTGCCCCCTCCTCCCTGACACCCTCAAAGCTGCCTCTCCCAGTTGGAAGAAGATTCCGTTGTCCCCGCAAACACCCTCAATTCCCCAAATGGGAGGAACCTTGCAGCTCGACCTGAGAAACCCACCCTGGGTCCCCTCTACAAACCTCCCCGCAGCTCTGGCCCTCGGACCACGTCCCAATCCTTCCAGCACACGCGCTCGTGACCCCTCCTGGAGGGGGCGCTCCGGGGCGACCGAAACCCTACTCCTCGGGGCTGGCCGCTCGGCGGTCAGGACCCTGGAGAGCGCCGCACGTTTCCTGGGGATCCCCGCTTTGCGCGCTCCAGGTGGGAAGAATCCCAGGAGGCACGGAGAGTCGCCGGGTTGGGGAGCCCTGGACGTGGCCCCTAGCTCCGGGGATCCCTCCCCGCATCCCCGGGGCCCGGCCGGAGCGCCCCCACTCA